AGTCACTGCTAATTGCTGCTGGCTAGTGTGAAGGAATTGAGTGGGGCGGAGCTGCGTCTTGAAGGCGGGGCTAGGTCCACCCAGGTGTTTAACAACTGGGAGGTTGAATCAACGCAACTCTTAAAAAGATGAAGGAAAGGTTTTACGTGATTCTGGCCCTTTAACAACCACAAACTGCTGGAAATGTGAGCAGCTAAGCTTCTGTGACCCAGTTTTAAACTGGACCTCCGGTACCAGGAGGCTGTTTTATCTGGATCTCTGAAGAACCAGAGACCGGTTGGCCAGTTCTGGAACCAGACTGTTAGTAAAATTCTGATTCTCACCTTGGAGCTCTGCCGCCGTCCTTCATGCTGCAACCCGACCTCCGATCTGTTGGCCAAGAATAGTGCGGGTCACGTGACCCGGCAGTCTGGTTCACGTGACCCGGCTGCCGTGTGACCCGAAAGGATCTGACTGCAGCTGCTTCCTGTAGGAATGTGTTCAAGACTGTGTCTGTGTAAGACTGGTGTCTCCTTGTTGTTGGACCAGAACCGTATTGGACCAGAACCAGACAGGAAGTGTTTTCAGCAGCTTTATTGAGATCTTCCCACTAAACATAGAAAAGGTTTACATGACTGTGACCGGAGCAGGACCCTGGAGCCGCCAGCAGGGCGGCGACACCGACCACCCCATCATCAGGAGACGCTCTGGTTCTGAACCGGCCCGGCTCCCGACCCGTTGAGCCAAACCAGGTCCGACTGCGGCCCTCCAGAGCCACCGGGCCAGACGTTGCAGCTGACCTTTGACCCGGGGCAGTGCCAAAGACACGCGGGACATGAAGGACCGACATGGGACGCCACCCGTAACCACGGTTACGCGGCGCCCAGTAGCTCCAGTGCTACAGGAGGAGGGGCGGAGCCTGAAAGGTCAGCTGGTCACAACCTGTGGTTGTGAGGAACCTGCCGGATGGTTCTGGATCTCCCGGCGTCTACTTGGTTGTCATGGTAACCGCCCCCCAGGGTCCTGCTCAAAGGCAACAAGGAAGCTACGGAGCGACAGGAAGGCCTCAGACACAAACAGGAAGTGAAGGCGTGGGATGGGCGGGGCCGTGGGCCCGAGGGGCCGGCCTCCCCGGGGCTCATGGTACAAGTGTCTATTTCAGGTCCAGAACCATGCTGGCCGGGTTCTCCAGGTACTCCCGCCACAGGTTGGAGAAGCGACACATGGTGGCGCCGTCGATGAGGCGGTGATCCGCCGACCAGCTCACCTTCATGATGTGGGCCGCCTTCACCTGACCGTCTGGGCCGAACCGCGGCAGAACCTGGAAGGAAACACCAGTTAATCCTAGAGAACCAATCAGAATCCCCCCTGGATGGATCC